CCTGGCCCCTGCATACGCAGCTTCGCAGCCAACTTCTTTTTGTGAACGCACCCCCCGCCACCATTGCTAGCACCGGCTGCTCTGCCCAACCGTGTACTAGCCCCAAATGCGACAATCCGCCGCGCGAGTCCCGATGGAGTGAATTTACGCCCCGACCGTTTCGGGCATAAACCCGACAACGGGGACGACTGGCGAAATTGCCGAACCTGGACCTATACCTCCTCGAAGTTGCCAGTCACTTCGTATTTCGCAGGTTGCATATGCAGGCCAACGCATGCTTGACGTTAAGGCAGCTGCTTCGAGTAAGGGCGTCGACCTGGGGAGAGGTTGGGACAGCTGTCGCCGCCTCTGGCTCGAAAGTACAAGCAGTGGGCAGTAGGCAGGCTGCGGAACAAGGATTCAAGTGCGCTTACCTGTGCCAACTTAGCTTTAAGCCCATCGCCCACCCTCGACGTACGGGTGAACACAGTCTTCTGAACGCGGTGAAGGAACACCACTGGACGGCCCTATGCAGCATATATACGGACGCACCTCGCTGGTTTTTTCGACTGGTAATTATTCGACATTACCATCCACGCCGAAATCGAGAAAATACGGCAAATATGGAGCGCCGAAAGGCCGAGCCCGGTGACCTCCTACGGCTTGTCGAGATCACAGTGATCTCTATGCCAGACGATGTTACTTACTTATATGAGTGGCCACTCCACTCCATATACCCGGGGGTTATGGAGTCGATCTGGGAGTTCAGGCTCAAGAAGTTGCTCTCCAAGTGTCACGTTATCGTGGAAAACGGGAACGTAATTGCGTTCGCCATCTGGACCCAGGAGAGCCACTTTCCTGCCGAGCAGCGAGATGGTGAGGGATTCGCTCCGCCATATCTCTCCTCTCTCCGGACTCCCGTTTTATATACAGATTCACTAATCTGCTAATCTTTCTTTGGACCAGAATGTCCCCCGGAGGACCTCGCCGAAAAATTCAAGCTCGTCGGCTCCCGAACGGACGTCTTCGAAAAAGGCCAGCGCGTGGATCCGGGACAGGATCAAGGACGCCGGCATTCAAGAATGGTTCACCATGCACCTGCTCGTAACAGATCGTCCCTTTCGTTGCCGCGGCGCTGCAGCGATGCTCCTTGAGGAGTTTGTGAAGGAGGCCGGAGGGGGATATTGTTTGGTCGAAGCCAGCCGAATGGGGGAACCCCAGTACGCGAAAAAAA